TTAACTGACATGGATGTCCACAGTCTGTCCACTCTACTCCATCCCTATCCTCCATTCCATATTCCCAATTAAGGCAAACTGTAAGCACAGCTGAGGTGCAAAACACTCTTATTAAGATAATGCCACCCTAATGTTAATACTACTGGAATGACATTGCCCTCTCCATTGAATTTAATGAACAAATTGGGATTGATATTTTCTCATATACCTTGCAGAATATGGATAACACTTGTTTTCATTTTATATTGAAGCAAGGTATTATTTTATGCCCAATTTACTGTGTAAAAGACAGTGATTGTCATTAATAGTATTATCTTGCATTGAATGAGCCTAGGTCAAAGTATTTCATGTGAGAAATAATTTCCTTGAGAGAAAGCCACACCTGCAAAATATCCTCATCACCTGTATTCTGAGCAATGGCTAGCGTGTACCTGTTTCTTGAATTTCAGGATAATTTCACTATTATAAAAATTAATTCAGTTACTTCATTAAGACCTTTGTGAAAATATATTTCTATGACAGAAGTTGATAGAAGTTCGATGTCTTCAATATTTTCTGTTTGATTCATGTTAACTCAATCACATTTTGTTCAATGCAGTGATGCTCTTAATTTAGAACTGCCAGGTGAATATAATTAGCCATAATTATTACTGAAACAATTCCATATTCTAGAATATTAAAAAGTGAAAAACTTAAAACTTATCAGTAACACTAATTATTCATCCTCTAATAATACAAGTGCTTTACCTCTGTGTATTCTAATTATTCTAATTCTATGTTTTCTAATTATTCATATAAGACAATTTAAAAGTTACCTTTCAAATGACTGTGACACAAAGCTGTTGAAACATTTTATATTTTAATAAATATTTTTAATATCTTATATTCTTGGGTTTTCTCTGTTAAAAACAACAGTGTAGCGGAGAGACTGAAATGTCAATTAGTTATTTGACTTTATCGATATTATGCTTTTTCCACTATCTTGATTATTATTCAGTCAAGTTTATATCTCTACTCCTCTACTTAAAATGTTCTTTCCCAAAACACTATGAATTATCTTACCAATTCCTCCTTTCACTTGATCTTTTCTGAAATATTTCATAGTCCCTTTCCAGGCTTTCAGAATTTTTTTATACTTTTTGCCACCATCCCCTTCATAACTTATCGTCTTCCATGTAGTACCTATTGCCATTTTCCTTGGACCACTTCTGGCCAAACTTTCTCAGGCTCTTTCCATAGTGGCCCTTCAAATCTCAATATTCTCTGTGATGTATCCTGTTCACTTTTCTATTTTTTTCTTCTTTTAATGATTGCTCCCATTACCATGTCTTAAAATATCATGTATTTATAGAGTTCCAATCCTACACCTTCAGCCTTATTCTTTCTCTTAAACTACCCACCCATTCAATAAGTTTCCCATTAGATCTATTCATCTGAATGAATTATTGCTCCCTCAAGTTCAGTATATCTGAATTAAATTGATATTCTTCTTCCCCAACCCCAAGAAATCTGCTCTTCCTTCTTTCATATTCTATGTTTCAAGGTACTGGGTACAGACATGATGGAGATTTTAATGGCATTAGTTCCTCTTCTCCTTCGCTGATGCTGTGTCTCCTCACTTTAAACCTCAGCTAAAACTTCTGCAATGTGACCCCAGTCCTCCTCTCCTCACTAAAACTTCTACGGTCCTAGTTCTGCTTCCCTGTGCCTCTCAGGCCCTCTCCTTACTGACCTCGCAGCCTGTTACCTTACCTCTCTCCATTCTGGGCAAAGACTATGTCAATCCTCTGCTCAAACTTTCCAATGGCTTCCACCTGATTAGAGGTTAAGCCCTAACGTCTTGACCACAGTTTGAAGGTTTTTTTACAATCTGGCTCCAATTCACCTCATTGACATTAACTCCATTCATTCCCACCAAACATCCTGGACTTGAGCTGTAGTAATTCCAAGAACTGGGAATGCTCTCATGTCTTTAATTTTTATTTTCGCTCTTCCCTCTGCTTGCAATGGACTTCCATGAGTAAAAATTTTACTCCTTCCTGAGTAAAAATCTAGCTCACCCTTCAAAATCCAGGTCAACATTAACTCTTCTTTGAAACCCTCCACGACCCCATTTATCAGCTACACAACCTCTCTGCTCTCATAGTGTTTTGTTTATGAGTATGGTATGCCATGTCATAATTGTTGTGTATTTATAGTATTATTCAATTTTGAATTTCTTGAGGGCAGGAATGACAAAATTCTAGTCAGCCTCTACAACAGTGACTTCGTGTAAGTCACACAGTGAGTCCTCAATAACTCTTTGTTGTGACTTAACTTAATAAACTTCCATATAATACACTTTATACATTAACTTTTCATAAAATACACATTACATATTATATATCATGTATCATAAACCTTATGTATTATGTGCATGTATACATGTTAATACACTATGTATGCATACATATGCATAATGTATGTTTATGGTATATGTATGTGCATATGTATTTATACATATGGTACACTTTCAGGCTCAAAAAGCCCTTAGATATCAACTTTTCTTTTTGGTTAGCTTTTCTAATCAATGACTATTACAAAATAAGAAACCAACAGCCAAAATCATTAGGTGGCTTTGCCAAGGTTCCATCGCGTGTTACTGACAACAGTGTGAGAGTTTCTGTCCCAGCTTCTCATCCTGTGCACCTTTCACAGCATCACGTTAATTCAATGATCTCACCAATGAAATGACTCCCTATAATCTGCTGTACCAAGAACAAACAATGTCCCAGTGGAGTGGACATTCTGGACTGTCTCACCTAACTTTCTCCCCCAACTCCCTCCCTGCTCTTTATTTTCATCAAGTGAGAAACACTTATGATTCTGTCATCCCTGTATTTTCATTTACAGTGCACCCCTCCCCTTTAACTATTCCCTAGTTCCTCCAGTAACTACTCTCAGTTCCTTTATAGATATGGCAATGTCTCTATTCCTTCTCTAAATAAATAAACAAACAAACAAATAAATAAATAAATAAGTCATTATTTTGCTCTTTAGTTTAATTCACTTTTTTTCACCAAACCAAGGATCATCATAAAAGAGATGCCATTATCATCCTCATCATACCAGCTGATATCTGCATAGGCACGGAACTTTGGAGTTTACAGATTACTTTCTCATAACTCATTCACTTGATCTTCATAACACTTAATAGTCAGAGAATGTATCACATTTATATGCAGTTCAAAAAACTAGGGGTCAAAAGTTAAACGAATTGCCAACATTCATATAACTAGCCAGAGCTGGAGCTGGCGCTGGAACCAAGGTGTCCATAGCCTAGCTCCTGACAGCTTTCCATGTTACACTGCCTACCGGCCTGTGTTCCCACCATGGCATTGATGTTGACGTATATTGGTACCTCAGATCCTGCACAGTGAATGTTGCCTCGACTCTTTTTCTATCTGAATTCCTGCTTGGCTCTTATTACTTTAACAGTACAAATTTCAACCAGACCAGTACGATTTTGTCCAACATTTGCTTACCTGAGAAGCTTTTACCAAGTATCCAAATAATACCGTTTAATGGTAAATTACAGTTTGATTGTTGTTCGCTGAGCTTTTCAAAAGTAAAACCATGGCTTTAGCTGAATTACAGATCTTCAACTCTTTGTTTTAAATGGAAATAAACTCATTTGATTTCCTCTGCATCCACTAATCAACCAATCTTTAAACTGTGAATGTTAACAAGGATGGCTAACACTAATCAAGATGGCTTTTTTAAAAACCAGTGTATGTATCTGTGTGTGTCTGTGTGTCTGTGTGTGTGTATATTTCATACAACATTGGGAGGCAAATTGTGTACTTTATTTTAGCTTTAAGTAAATTTCTGTTCAATTTCCTAAGTTGCTGCACAGCTACAACTTCTTTAAAAATTCAGGATATCAGTGCAATCATTAGAGTGGACTAATCTGTCTGGGCAGCAGAGGGCTACAGATAGCTGAAGCCAGGAAAGCCGCTCCTTCTCTGTAACTTGTTTGCAATCCTTTGACAAATACACACTCTCCCTCCTTTCTACTGAACCCTCTTAATGTTATTAAGTCACTGCCATGAAACCGAATGTATCCCTAGCCCTAAGCAACAGCAATAACTTTTCCTACTTCATTGCTATAAACGTGAAGTTTCAGGTCTGTTGAAGGATTCTCAGTGTCCTTTGGAGGAGAAAGGAGCCGCTTGCTGGAGAGGGGGTAGTCATTCCTCACTTGGTATTGTATTTCCTGCCTGTCGCTGCCCCGCCAGGACCTCCAGTCAGCACTTTTGTCTCGAGGTTCAGAGGAACAATTAGTGGTTGTTTTGATTGGTTGGTTGAAAGCAAAGCAAAATAATTCTCAAGACAGGAAAAGTTTAAACCTCAACATCCTAACCACTGTGCACTTTAAAAATCGCTCAATTCACGAGTTAAGAATTGAGCTTTACCTGGGCTCAGTGGGCTCACCAGAGCCCGTTTGCCTCTGGCTGTCAGAACTGTTCTTGTTTGGCTTGTTTCCACGTGTCCCATATATCGCAAAGCTGTACTCAACAAATCGAACTCTATAGCCATCTGTATCACGGCAATGAGCAAATATAGTTTGCCTCAAGACAGAAGAAAGACCGGGGCTAAACTGCTTCCTTGTTCTTTGCTAGAAATATATTTAAGCAACTCCTAGCACAGTGAGAATCCTGAGGCTAAAAAACACTGCACTTCATCCTGAAAGTGCAGCGTCGGTCGTCCTCGTTAACTAGAGAGCTGCGAGAAAATAGCATTCCGGTGACTCACGAATGCCTCTTTTGAGTTGTTAGGTTTTTCTTTCCGAAGAGCATCGGACGTGACCTAATTTGCTTCCCTAGCATCGCACTTTTAACCTTAGGATCCCAGCACACCGGGGGCATCGAGAAGCACAGGGGCGTCCCCTGAAGCCCAGCAGTTTCGTAACGTGGACCCAGATATGAAGTAGGAAGAAGGGGGAACTCCGTCCCACTTACCAGTCTTCCACAGATACAGGATGGGTGCCTCCGCTTCGCCCTGGGCTGCAGCCCCGCAGGAGCCCGAGCGCAGCAGCAGCAGCAGCAGCAGCAGCAGCGGCGGCGGCGGCGGCGGCGGTGGGAGCAGCTGCAGGACGCCCCGGCGCGGGCCCTCAGCTCCCGGGCTCCAGGACTCGGAGCGCCTCGCTTGCAGCCCCATGCCGTCTGCAGCCGCTCCAGGGTCCAGATCCCAAACGAGGTGGACAGGGGATTCTTCTTCGCCCTCCGACCGTCTTCCCAAGGAGTACCGAAAGCAAAGCTCTTCCCTGCTATTGTTCGTTTCAGATGAAAAGGAGGGAAAGCTCCTTTAACACCAGGGAACAATAGCGTCCGTGGCGGCCGTGGCTGCCGCGGCCACCGCCACTGGCGGGGATGCTGTTGAGGCTGCCATACCACGCAGAGTGGCAAGTCCTAGCGGCGAGGGAGGCAGCCGTCCGCAGAGGGCCCCAGCTGACTGAGCAGGTCCTCGAGGTCCAGGAGGCAGCGCAGCCCCCGCCGCCAGCTGGAGAGAGAGGAGAGGGGTGTGAGCCCAAACGAGGGAGAGGGGACTGGAGGTAGCAAGGGAGGGGGGGGGGCGGGGAGGGCTCAAGGGCGAGAAAGGAAATGAACGACGGGCAGAGGGGACACCCAGATGCAACATACCCGCCCAGAGAACTCCCGTGCACATGGTGTGATGAAATATGTTTGGAAGGATACACCAATAAAAAGAATCATCACCCGACAGGCTTCAGCATGACAAATAACAGGCATTGAAATTCATCGTCACCCAAGGAGTCAAATGCTAGCTCTAGCGGCATGTTATTCACAGTGTATATTTATTTACATTAAGCATCAGTGTTTATAATTTATTCTAAGCGATGCCTTCTGAATTAGTTTATGTGGGGAGCAGTGTGTATGATCAGATGGGTAAGTAAAACATAGTAAAACAGCAGAGATGTTTACTCGCTGAAGAAATGCACTTAAATACTTTTTCAAATGTTTTTTTAACTTAATCTGTTCTCCATAAAAATATGATTAATATTGCTCTACTGTGTCAAGTCAAAGTTCATTGTCTTTTAATAGCCTTTGCAACAGAATTAGTATTTAATAAATATTCACCATACTATCTAGTTAAGTGGATACAATTTTACAAAAACTGATCAAAAACTTATATTTCAGATATGGAGTAAATAAAAGTATTACCCCTTTATCTACTTCTCTGTCAAAAATACGCTGCCTTTAAGTAGCCACACACTTGTAAAATTAAAGGAAAAAAACTGAGTTTCCATTACTTGGATATCTCTAAATTAATAAATGTTTTCCTTAAAAATCCCTGGCACTGAGTTCTCTGACCCCTTACTGTAGAAAAACGCCTTTCATAATCTAAATAACCTCATGGGTTTGGGTCTTTTGTTCTTTGTGTTTGCACTTTCTTAAGCCAGTAGTAATAGAGGAATGTGTGTGAAGTCAGATAATGCTTTGCCCTTTCTCTCTTTTTTTTCTTTCCCCCAATAATGACCTTTTATTAATTCATTTCCTAGTAAAGCTAAAATAATATCAAGGCACCTAGCCAATTAATAATACAGCCAAAAGAAAGCCAAAGAACACTATTCACATCCGGTCAGCAATGCTTGGCCAAATAAAATAAAATTTGAAAAGCAGGAAAACTACTCTTTATGAATTTACTCCACCAACAGAGCCAACCCAAGAGTTTAAAATGAGGAAGCCAGTGTTTCTGGAAAAGGAAAAACCTTCCATAAAGCTCTCTTGGGACGCCGCCTGTCGTTCTTCGGATCATTCCAGACACAGCCCTTCTGCCTGCATTAGATTAAAAGCAGGTTTGATCAAATAATTCCCAGGTCCTGCCTGTTTAAGTATTCTGACATCAGAGGAAATTAGCAACGTTGAAGGTTGCAAATTCAGCCTTTGTTTACTTTCCACTCTGTTAGACCTCTAAGAGAGAATTAAAAGCTCACAGAGCCCCTAGCTCTGTGAATCTGTGATTAGGAGAGATAAGCTAGTGTGGATTACTATTTCTTCACTGGTGACAAACAGGCAACAATCAAAAGATTACAGGTTGATAAGGGATAAAAACGAGCCTCATCTTAACTAATGTATGGCTCCCTGAAAGAGCAACTTGTTTCCACAGTTACATCAAAGAAGAAAATAGGACCAGCTTGGTTGTCCTCTTAAGGAGAATGCTGCAATACCCCTCCACAATGGCAGTGTTTTCTCCCTGTTTGCTGGTGGAGCCCTAAACCCTGAAATCTTCTAGCTCTGGCACAGGAAGGATTTCAAGTGGAAGCACCCTATTAATTTCAGCCCATTGTAAGCATTCTTGGGAAGTCCCAAATCAATCCGCCAAATAGAAACTCATTACATAACAGAAGACAGAGCATCTAAGAAGTCAAGTTAGTACAATTTAATGTGTGGGGTAATTACTTAGCCCTTCGAAAATCCATTAGATGCTATACTTAATAGCTTGATGTCAAAAGAAAATTTAAGACTCTAATCTTTATATTTATCCATGGATGTATAATAATTACTCAACTGGGAAAAAGTTTAAACATTGTACAATAGCTGCAACTTCACGCGTTATACATAAGATCCAGGGACCACTTCTAAGTCAAAATGTGCTGCCATTTAAAATACACAACGAGGGTGAATGTTCTGCAGCAGTGTTTGAAAATAGCCTACAATTGGCCTTTTTCTTTCAATTTCAATTGATACAAGGCTTAAGGATCACACGTAAACACATACACATGCACAATCAGTCAGTAGTAAAGACATATCTGGACAAGGCTACAGAAACTACAGTCATATAAACATTTGTCTCCACCACTGCCACATATCTGTTCTATAACAATGCCATTATTGCACTTGAGGACAAAAATGTATGGGTCTCTGAGGAGACAGAAGTGATATATATATTCAGATAAATGTTCCTTTGTGAAAGCTATAGTGTCCAGTTGGACAAATGCTATCAATAAAACTGATAGACAGCAAGAGATAGAAAGACAGCATGCTTTGTTTTCTAGAATATGATATAAATAACACACAAATGTTTAATGACATGATGTCACAATGTAGTCATGAGAAGTCTCAAGGATGCAGATTAAATTGACCATCTGTACAGTCTGCCGTGAAGTAAGTCATTCATCATTTTTCATGAAGAACTGTTCAAGTATTAATGAGCCGGGGCTATAAAAGTTTTCCAAACCAATGGATGAAAAATGCAAAACATATTTCTTAATGTTTAGAAATGAGACAATTCTGAACCTGTCAGCTCTCATGTGGTGTCCTTTCATCTATCTTTATCAGTTTTGTTATCATTTCCAAACTCCAGAGTGAGAGTGTGGATATATCTACACGCGTGTTTTCTCCTTTATTAGAAAACAAGCGTATAAGCATTTTTCATGACCTATAAGACATATGGACAATGACTTTCAGTGATTACTCCCAACATTTAAAATCAATCATAAAAAATTGAATTACTTGCCAGAAAGGGAGACAACTTTTAATATCAGTTTTTTATGAAGCAATTAGTAAATGAAGAAATATACAGTTATTCATTGATGGAGTGTTACATATGGAAGCGTCAATGTCCATTTTGAAATAAAAATTTTAAATTTTCTCTACATAAATGTATTTGTCTTATTAAAAAAACAAAACACAAACAAACAAACAAAAAAACACCCAAAGGAATTCTGTTTGTGCAGCCTCTAGGTGTCATACTTGACCAAGGTTTGGGGTAGACAAAATTTATTTTGGGCTTCTTTCTATTCCCCACTTCGTGCCACACCCACCAAATTATTAAAAGATAAAACAGTTCACATTTTATCTTTCGTAATAAAGAGCCCCAGATTTTACTTTCTTTCCCAATTCTAACTAATATTCACCCTATTTTCCTTTTAATTCCTTTTACTTTATAACAACTGTGTTTTGTTGGTTGATAGGTTTATTATAGTTTGCTGGTTTGTATTTATGTGTAGTGACAAGAGGGCAGATTCCAAATTTCAAATAGTTTTACAGAAAGAAAACTAATCCCATGGTTTCACCATTTTAATCAAAACTAAACTTGTTTGGAAACAATAAGGATCTGCTACAAATAATTAGATCCCTTGTTTTGATTATCAGATGAAAATGTAGAATATTATGGTTTAGATCTTTCTAGGGTTTGGGGACTCATTCACTATAGACTTTATAATAAGGATCCCATCCTAGGTGGTATGCGAGGCATCAACAGTCTCTGGTACAAGGTAATAATGCCCTGATTGTTAAAAAAAATTCACCAGTGGTGACTTAGGAGAATGTTTCTGTAGAGGAGAACATCCTGGCGGACGCAATGTTTTAAGCATTTGAAAAGTACAGAGATACATGTTTACAAGCATAACACAGCTGAGTAGTTATCACTAGTTATCAGTGTTCTATGCGTGGATTGTGATAAGGCACAGGCCTTCAACAAACAACTGGAAACTAAATATGAAGGCCAGGAGTCCTTAAAAAGAACCCTTGTCTCAAGCAGTGGCGGGAGTAGTAAAAAGCTAAAGATCAAGCTGAAAACTTAAAGAGCTGACAACCATAAAGATGACTGAATGATCAGCCAAGGCAGGTTTGTTATACTAAGATCAGGGCTCTGCTTTGGGAAAACTAGAAGTTAATGTGTGGGACAAGTTTGTGTGGTTGGGTGGATGTCCCCAAGGTCTTTGACTCCCCAGACTCTTCTAAATTCTCCAAGGCTTCAGGGGCAGCCCACCCCACCCCCTCTTAACAGTGGGCACACCCTCTTCCCTGTAAGGCCTGCCCCACCACCTCTCCGAGTTTCCAGGCAGATAACCAAGCCCATGTCCCAACATTGTCAGCCTAGGATATGCTAGGCCTGTTATTATAACAGAATGATGACTACAGAGCAAAGAGGCTTCGAGAATTAGCTACGATGTGCTATGAGGAGCCAGGAGAGTATCCACCGGGCTATCTTTTGAGAGGCTTGACTAGGTGTCAGGACCTAGACAGGAAAAGAGAGAGCTCATTGACTTGGGGGAACACTCCAGGATATGGGATTTAACATCCTGTCAAGCACTGAAAGGCATGGCGCACACTGGGTGGTTCCTAGAAATCTGGAGAAACACTGATAGAAACTGAAATTCCTAAATTACCAAAGTGACAAGGGGAGGAAGGGACGTGCTGGAGTAGATACATTATGTCAGAAAACCAAAGACCCAAGGAAGGATTATGACCCAAGGAAACGAGAGTACACCGATCACCAAAGCCATCAGGAATGTGTTGGTGAGAGGGCCGCCAGAATCATTAAGTTTCATGTCACCAGTAGGAGAGATGGTTGTACAGATTTCAGTCTCTGATCCATTTGTGAGTGGTATCAAGTAAGGTTCTAAATTCATTATTTTTCAACTCAATATCCAATTGCTCCAGCGCCATTTAAAAGACCATTCTTTTTTTCTTTGAATTGTCCTAGCGCTTTAGCATAGGGAATAGAGTCAATGGCATTGTAACAGCTATATATGC